CCTGCTGGAAGCTGTGACAGGGAAATTTCCAAAATAACCCACTCTGCCTTTTCTACTTGAGGCCTTCACAAACAGTTCTCCACAGTCTTGTTTCCTTTCCTTTAAATCCACCTGCATCACTGACTGTGCTGAGGTTTCAACGGCAGTTACTGTGGAAAAAGTCCTCTGCATTTGAACAGGGAACCTAAGCTAGAGAGAAGCAAGTCAAAATGAGAATCTCAGTCACCATCTACCATGGGTGGAGGATAGGGTGGGATGCTCTGAGTTCTCTAAAGTGACATCCACCATTGCTTACCTTTCCTGAGACTGGGAGGTCTGTCACCCATCATGGTATGCCCTCTGCCACGAGGACATGTTGCTTAGGACCTGAGGAATATCTGGGGTTGTGTGTACATTCACACACACACACACACACACACACACACACACAGACACACACACATACACACGCACGCACGCACGCGCATCCCTCACTTTAGTAGGGAGAAAAGTCTTATTCCTGCCCCACCTTAAGTATGTTTAGGCCACAGAGACATCCAGGCTCCTGGTTCCTCCATAGTCTTTCAATGTTCAGTGGCCTGGCTTTGTACAAACCTACATTCCTCCTAAAAACCCTGCTCTGGCTGTGAAGTCTGTGGGACTGTGCTGTTATATAGCTTGCACTAATGCACTCTGAACCCCTTCATTATGGAGCTCCCTTCTCTTCTGAGACTGTGCCCACAGGGGCCTGGTATGGTTCAAAGTTCTAAGGCTCTGAGTTGCCTTCTGACCTTGGAAATGTGGGGATTTGTCAGAGAAGAATTTTCACTCAATGTCTGCCTCCCTCCCTCTTTCTATCGGGCCACCCGAGGAAGATGCTATGCTGGATGCTGGTGACATCAGACAAAAGGCGTCACCCCTGTGCTTGAGTAAGACAAACACAAGAGCAGCTGGCAGAATTGGAGCTGAAGTCAGTGCTATAATGGAGGGGCCAGTGTGCTGGCTTTTTTTCCCCCTCAATATATGTTTTTATTTAAATTAGAAACATGAATGCTTCACATGTCATCCCTCTCCCACCCCTCCTCCCTCGTCCCTCCACCAGCCTCCCTAGCTCCCCACCCAATCCCCACATCATTCCCCAGGGAGGGTGAGGCCCTCCTTGGGGGGGTCTCCAAAATCTGTCATTTCATCCATGGCAGGACCTAGGCCCTTCCCCATGTGTCCAGGCTGAGAGAGCATCCCTCTATTTGGAATGGGCTCCCAAAGATCATTCATAAACCACGGTAAACACTGATATACTACAAGGCCCCAGTGATTTCTGTGGCCTCCTCACTGGCACTACATTCATCGAGTCTGGATCAGTTCCCTGTTGGTCCCTCAGCCATCAGTCTGGGATTCAAGAGCTCCCCCTTGTCCGGTCATGCTGGCTGGTTTTTGATGCGGAAGTCCTGTGTATATGTCAATAAAGCACTGTTGGCCAATAGGGAAACAAGATAGGTTGGACTAGGAGTCGAGGAGGACTCTGGGTAGGAGAAACACAGGGAGTCAAGATGTAACCGTCATAGGGGTAAGAAGCTTGGAAACTTTTCTCCGGTAAGAGAAATACTTAGATTAACAATTATGGGGTAAATACATAAGTCAGAGCTAGCCAGTAAGAAACAAGCAAGGCCAACAGCTTCATAATTAATACAGCGTCTTGTGTGTTATTTGGGGACTACAACGCGGCAGAGCCCAGGCGACTGGTGGGGAAAAACAAAGCGGCAGAAAAGAAAAAGGCTTCTCTCTACAGGTTTTTATGTCAACTGACACAGGCTAGAATGAGGTGGGCACAGAGGACCTCAGCTGAAAAATGTCCTCACCAGATTGGCCTGTAGGCAAGTCTGTGAGGTGTTTTCTTAGTGACTGATGTGCAAGAGCCAAGCCCAATGTGGGTAGTCCCACTCTCGGGCAGGTGGCCCTGAGTTATATAAGAAAACAGGCTGAGGACATGAGGGCGATCTGGCTGTGACATCTGTCACCCCATTGATCACCAGGGTGGATTCGGCAGATCTGGCTGGCTAGGTGGGTGTTCCCTTCCTCAATCACTGATCTGTATGTATCCCACCTGAAGCTGCGCGCTCAGTCGAATAGAACCATCTTCCCTGAACTGAGGAGGACTGGTCTTTGGTTAAGGGTATACGAGTAACTGCGCTCCCCTGCTAGAACCTCCAAACAAGCTCTCAAGAAAACAGGCTGAATGAGTGATTAGGAGTAAACCAGTAAGCAGAATTCGTCCTTTCTTACTGCCTCGAGTTCCTGCCCTGACTTTCTGAATGATGGACTACAAGCTGTAAGATGAAATAAACCATTTTCTTCCCAAGTTGATTTTGGCCATGGTGTTTTTATCACAGCAACAGAAACCATAACTAAGACAACCACAGAGAGGGGCAATAGGTCCAGAGCAGGGAGTGGACATGGAGGAGTGCCAGAATCCAGGATGCTGTCAGTGCCTATTGGAGACCTCAGAATGACAGAAGGGTGTCCTGGGTAGCCAGGGTAGCATAGAAAGGCCTGGAGCTAAGCATGGCTGGCTTGGGATATGAAGGCCTGGGAGGCTGGGCAAGATGGAAGGACATCACACAGGACATTTTAAGAGAAATCAGGGAGCGAGTGCCTCATTTTGAGTCTAAAGGCACCATAGAAGGATGTGAAGCAGGGGAATGATATGGTCATATTTGCGATTTTCAAGGACAGAATCTATGGCTCTGGGCTACAGACTCATACACTTGCCTGATGCCCATGAGTACACACATTCTCTCAAGGTTGGGAGGCTGGGGGACTGCATCACAGTCTAAAGGCAGCTGGTCAGCTTGTTTGAAACAAAGCAGAGGGGCTAGACAGCAGAGCAGAGGAGGCTGTGATACATGCTATGCTGTGTGCTTCTGGTGCTTGGGGTCTCTGTGCTGAAAGGCTGATGGACAGTGCTGAGCACTTGAAGCTAAACCAGGTCCTTTCTGTGCCAGCCTGTTTGTACACTGCTCTGCTCGTCTCTAGTATGTGAGGTGCTGGCAATGGAACCAAAGGCAAGTGTTCTGCCACCGAACCACACCACTAGACCAGCCTATTTGTTAGTATGTGTATGTTCAACATGTGCATGTGCGTCTGTGTGCACACACATGAGTGAGTACTAGCCAGCGTCACCCTCCAGCATCTTTTTTTCAGGAGCTGTTCACCTTGGTCTTACTTGTTTTTGTTTTGTTGCTTTGTTTTGTTTTGTTTTTCTTGTTTGGCCAGGACTTTGAAGATTAGGCTAGGCTGGCTGGCCACAGAGCTCCAGGGACCTCTGCCCGTCTCCGTCTTCCAAGCGCTGGATATAGAGTACATGCCGCTGAAACTATTTTTTAAACTTGTGTGCTAGAGATTGAACTAGGTCTTCATACTGGCTTCCATTGACTTAGCCACTTCCCCAGCCCCAAATTGTATTATTATCACTCTCAATTTTCAGGGAACAAGACCAAGACCTGCCTGTAGAGCTTTGTTGCTTTTTTTTTTTTTTTTTTTGTGAAGGAAAAGTCAGAGCAGGAGCTTCATTCCCTTGGGGTTTTATTTTATTATTACTCATTATTATTATTTGCCAGTACTTCTCCCCACCTGGGTGCAGCAGGTGGAGCAATGACAATAACATAGAATATTAGGAACAGAGGTGAAGAAGGGTACGAGAGTCATCCCATTCCCTTCTGCTTCTGATAGTTTTCATTAAGATAATGGCAGCTGTGACCCAGGACTTAATTTCATAGTCCATAGTAGGTTACAACCCACAGGATGATAGAACATGGGCTTGAAATGAGGGCTGGGGCAGGAATGAGGGATTTCTTCTCTATCCAAAAGCATTTAATTTTATCCATTTTAAGTAAAACTCACATTTACTAGCATAGTGGCAAAAATTTATGGTGCAAAATGGAATCACTAATTTATTACATGATTGATTAGTTCAGAGTCATCTGTTGAGCATCTCTCCTGGATTAGGCTCAGGGATACAGGAATGAATAAAAATATAATGTCTCTCATGAGACACATATAATCTAAGGTGGACGGAAAGCTGTAAAGAGTTGTTCTCAATATGGCCTAGTAAGGAAAGGGGTTTATAATGAGAATACGGGGAAGGAATGCCGAGCCTAGCTCAGGAGTTTCTTGAAGGTTGTGACTTCTCAGAAGAACTGTCAAGGAGTGGGTGTCAGGAGAAGATGGGTGTCCAGGAAGGGTGCAAAGGAGAAGGCAGAGCACCCAGGAAGGCAACCCAGACAGGAGCAGCAGCATTCCATACTGCAAGCAAGGGGTAAAGACGAGACAGAGAGGCAAGAACTAGAATCTGGAGAGCCTTTTAGCCCTACAAATTCTTTGTGCTTTCTTCTAGAGCAGGGGTTCTCAACCTGTGGGTTGTGACACCTTGGGGTTCCAAGGACCATTTCACAGGAGTCCTCTGAGATCATTGAAAAAACATGGATATTTACATTATGATTCATAACAGTAGTAAAATGACAGTTATGAAGTAGTGATGAAAATAATTTTATGGTTGGGGGTCACCACAACATGAGGAATTATATGACAGAGTTGCAGCATTAGGAAGGTTGAGAACCACTGCTGTAGATGGTGGCAAGATGTTGAAAGTCTCAAAGCTACTTCCCTGCAATGCTTGCCTGTAGACCCAGCATCAATGCACTCTGGAAGCTGAGGCTGGAGGCTCAGGAGTTAAAGACTAGCCTATGTTACACAGTGGAGCTGTCTTAAAAAACCAATCAAAGAAAACAAGAAATAATTTCTTATAGTTTCTTGGTGTGGTTTGAATAAGAAAGGCCTCCAAAGATTTATAAATTTGAATACTCGGTCCCCGGTTAGTGGAACTGTTTGGGAAGGATCAGGAGGTATGGCCTTGTCAGAGGAGGTGTGTTACTTTGGGTGGGCTTGGAGGTTTCAAAATCCCACACCATTCTCAGTTAGTTTTCTCTCTTGCTGTCTCTTTGCAGATCAGATGTAAACTCTCAACTACTTCCCCAGGACCATGCCATGCCTGCCTGGGCCATGTAGTCTACTCTGATCTTCTAGAACTGCGAGCCCCAAATGAGATGCTTTCTTTTATACGTTGCCTTGGTCATGGTATTTTGTTGCAGCAACAGAAAAGTAACCAAGACACTTGTGAAGCAGCAAACAAACACTGCTTTCTTAGCAACCTCACCCTTGCCTCCACCAGGTGCTGCAGATCAAACCCAGGTCCTTATACAAGTTAGACAAACAATGGACCACTAAGCCATATCTCTAGCCTTTCAGCTTTAATGCCCTGATTTGGTATGTGAGTAATGGGAAACATTGTATGAATTTGCATTTTCCTGAGGACTGCTGCACTTAAAGATTTTTCATGTGTTTATTAAGCTATTTGTACATAGTCCTACCCTTTGCCCATTTTCCCACTGGGATTTTAGTATTTTTCTTATCGATTTATATGAGCTCTTTGTATTTGAGGGATAACAACCTTTCATCATATTTATTGCATAGACTTTCCCCAGTCTTGTCATTTGCTTTTTAGTTTGGTTTGGAATGGCTTCTGACAGCCAGAAGTTTTTAATTTGGTGTAGTCCAAGGTATTGATTTTCTTTCCCTTAGTGATTTCTTCCATTACTTTTATGCTTACAGAATTCTTCCTCATTCAGAGATCAAATAAATATCACTGAAATGTTTGAAGCAGGAGTGCGCCATGGAGGATGATTGATAACAATATTCACAGGTTGGATGTAGACAAGAAAAACAAAAACAAAGCAACAGCAAATCCAGCCAGGAGAGGAGAAACCAAATCAGCTTTCATTCCCACCAAACCTGTCTCAAGGTTACAAGTGGAACAGTCAGGGTAAGAAGAAGGTTGACAGAGTGGAGGGGAGTAGGAAGAATCAAGAGGAGCTGGCAGGCGGGAGTTAAACATGTAAGGAGCCATGAGTCTCTAGGGAGAATATGAAGGGACAAGCTTTATCTAAACACTGGGTACTCAGTGCCTGGGGTAGACAAAACCAACCCAAACCTGCACATTTCTGACCTTGCAGGCTTATAGTCTAATGAGAGAAAACAAGAATCAAGAAAATGGTATTTAAATAAGTATAAAGTAAAAGCTCCTAAAATATTTCAAGGAAAGAAAATCTTATGAAAAAATTATTAGGGATATGAACATATCTAGATGTCATTAAGGGCTTCCACCAGAGCCAGGAGTGGTGGTGCACACCTGCTGTTCCAGCATTGGGGAGTAGGAAGATTATACATTCCAAACCAACTTGTGTTATTTACCAAGACCTTATCTCAATAACAAAACACTAAGAAGATTTGCATTACTGAAGGAGGCAGATGTGGAGATCTACAGCTAAGCACTGGGCCAAGCTCCCAGAGTCCAGCTGAAGAGAGGGAGGAGTGATGATATGAGCAAAGAGGTCAAGACTATTTTGGGGATACTCACAGAGACAGTTCGCCTGAGCTAGTGGGAGCTCACTAACTCTGGACTGACATAACTGGGCTCTCTGAATGTGGGTGAATTTGGCTTGGACAGTCTGTGAGGATGCTGGTAGTGGGACCAGGATCTATCCTTGTTGCTTGAACTGGCTTTTTGGAGCCCATCCTCTTTGGAGGGATACCTTACTCAGTCTAGAAATGGGGGGGAGGGCCTTGGTCCGGCCTGAAAGAGATGTGCCAGATTTTGTTGACTCCCCATCAGAAGCCTTACCCTCTCTTAGGAGTGCATGGGGTGGGGTTGGGGGACGGTGTGGATAGTGGGAGGAGGAGAGGGAGTGGGAACTAAGATTGGTATGTAAAATGAGAAAAGATTGTTTTAAAATGAAAAAAAAATCATGTCAGAAAAAGAAAGTAAAAAAAAAAAGACAATGACTTGCATTAAAGAGGTCTTCACTATACTGTCTGAGGTTACCTAGGAGCTCAGATGTGGAGGATTGGGGATGTACGAGCATATACCAAGGTTCTTTGGCAGAATGATGGCTGAATCCTGGCTAGCGTGCTGGAGAGAAGATGGAAAGAAAGGCACATGGGCATAGGACATGAGCTCAGATCACACCAGACCTTGCAGCTGAAGAACTGTGAAAACACGTTCAATACTTATACAAAGCTGGTGGGGCTGGAGTGGGTTGGGGATAGAGACACAATCAGATTTGTCTTTTGAAAAGACCCCATTGGCTAGGTGTGATGGCACACACCCATAAACTCAGCATGTAGAGCCTGAGGGATGAGGATATGTTTGGGGCCAGTTTGGAACATGCAGTGACATGAGATCCTGCCTCAAAAGCCAAAGAACAAAGAGATTCTTTTAGTTTCCTTCCTTCCTTCCTTCCTTCCTTCCTTCCTTCCTTCCTTCCTTCCTTCCTCCCTTTCTTCATTTCTTCCTGTCCTCGCTCTTTTGAGGCAGGTTCTCATAGCCCAAGTTAGCCTCAGTCTCACTTCATAATCAAGATGGCTTTGAACTCTTGATCCTACTGCCTCTACCCTAGGCTAGGATTATGGGCATCACCACACATGTTGCTGTATTATGAATATTGAATATTGATGTTGGCTTAATACCTATACCAAATCCTAGCTCCCAATACACTAGTATTAAGATGAGGGGCCTATGGAAGATGATTGAATCATGAGGGCTCCACCTTTTTGAGAGTCTTGAGACACAGCTCGTTGCATTATTTTCATACTTGGTGTTCCCTGCAGGATTTTGTCACAAGAAGATGCAGCCTGAAGGTGCCAGTGATGAACAGAGCTATGGGAAAGAAATTCCTGTTGTGGTCAATTACTGTACCCATTACACTCTGTTGCAGCAGTTCTAATGAACAAAGATATGTGTGGCACAGTAACTGGAAGAGACCAGAGTAGACAGGAAAGACCACTGCAGTGATCCAGGCAGGAAACACTGGTAGTGTGGTCTAGGGCAGAGACAAGAAAGTAGACTTAGAGAAGTGGATCTATTTGAGAGGTATTTGGGAAGGACAGTAAGTAGGACTTGGGGTGACTTAGATATGGAATACTGGGACAAGATCACAGCATGTCAAGAAAAGATCCCTAGGTTTTAGGGTTACATACCCACATGGAATAACAATGTGGGGACAGAACTCCTAACAGAGGAAGTATTAGGAGAGAATCAGACTTGGACAAAGGTTCACAGACTCTGGTTTGGAATTTGAGGTGTGTTTGATCTGAGTTGAGTTAGATGTAATGAATAAAGCTACAGGAACTCGGGGCTGAAGGTCTTTTCACAGGTCATTGCCGTTGAATGGATGAGCATGGGTGTGAGGCTAGGGAAAGAGGGAGAAACAGGCCATGAGGAAATCAACATTCCATTTGGCCTCAGGTCAGCTCAAGGCTCTGTAGAGCTGTTTTTATGGTTAAAAGGGAAAACCGTACGTCTGGTGCCGGGCACACATTAAGCACTCGAGGAATGGTAGGCACATCTTCTTTCTCTCCCCTCTCGACCACGCTAATCTTTGTTTTATTCTTCTCTCCTTCCTGGCACCATGGATTACAGCTCAAACCTATTCCTTCTACTGGGAGACGGTCTCCTGTACACATCAGGTGTGACCTACTCACCTCCGAGACCCAGCCCAGAACAGCCTGCTTCTTGACAACTGTCTGAAATCAAACCGAGGAGACTTTGGACCTGTGTTTAGTTGCCTAGTGATCGATGCTGGGTGAGCTCATTCTCTGAGGGCATATAGCAACAGCCACTGGAAATCACACCTGAGGAGAATCACTCATTGCATTCCTGCTGCAGTTTTTAATCCTTCCCAGAGAACCCACATGATATTCGTCTGGGTTGCATATCACAGGAGTTTCCATTATGAGGTGCATTTGCATATTTTATTTACCTGTAGTTCCTTTCCCCTGCTAAAACAATGGCATTCTGAGTAAACATGCATATGGATAGTTTCCAAATTTAGCTTACTCTTTTAAATAAAAAAAAAGATTTATTTTTTAATCTAATGTGCTTTGGTGTTTTGCCTGCATGTATGTCAGTGTGAGGGTGTCAAACGCCTTTCAGTTGTGAGCTGCTGTGTGGTTGCTGGGAGTTGAACCTGGGTCCTCTGAAAGGGCAGCCAGTGATGTTATCCACTAAGCCATTTTTCCAGTCCCCCATTAATCCTACTCTTGATCGTAGGATCCTTTCTCTCATCTTCCCGTTTTATTTTAAAATCACAAGTTTTCCCATCCTGGCCAGAGTCTTTCCCATGTTTCATTTATTCTCCGCACTCACATTTCTGTTCTTCCCCTCCGCCTTTGACATTTACCTTTCCCTCTTCCAACCAACACCAAGGCCCCAGGCCCTGAAAGCCCCTTGTTCCAGCTTCTAGAGCCTTCCTCACCCGCAGGTACTGTTTATTCTGCACTGAAGCTTCCTTTTACTTTTAACTAGAGATTTGTTATGCAAGGCAATCTCATGATCATGCAGCCTTGGCCAGATTCTGCCTTTGCCACTGGCATCTTAAAGATTCGCTTCTGTGGCTGGGTCTCAAATCACCGCTTTTCTCTTCTGAATAATATAGTTCCCTGAATTCTCTTTCTGAATTCTTGATCACTACCTCCAGCTCTCTGTATTCCTCCTCTCATTAAAAATGTGGATACTACCTGCCCCAGACCTGTCTCTGTAGATCCAAAGGCTCACGACCTGCTCTTTGACCTTGAATGTTCACTGTTTATGGTGTGCCTCCAACTTGGGGTGCATTTGAATCATCATCCAAAGCACTTAAAAGTATAACTGCCAGAGTCCCAGAGACCCTGATTAAATGGTTTTAAGTGGGTCCCGGCCATTGTCATTTTTAATAAGATCCAAAAGTGCAGCTCAGATGCAAACCACTCACTGGTCTAATGGATGAGATGGATGTGGAAACAAAGGCTTTTAATACAATGCAAAGGCAGAAGTAAACAGAAGGGGCTGCAGGGGAAAAGAAGAGCAGCTCCTCATCCAGCTTGTCAAATGAAAACACAATGATGGCTTCCCAGGGCAGAGGACTCCATGCCTGACTCATTGCAGAAAACCTGTTCAAACAGAGCCCCACCCCCCAGTCTCCCCTTTGAGTAAGAGACATCAGTCAGTCCCTCCAAAGTTGCTTCTGTCTCTCTAAGCAGAACAGCCATTATGAACACGGCCTTTGGAGTCCAAGACTCATTTGAAAACTAGCTGTGGGATCTCTGAAAGACTACTTAACTATTGTTGAGTCTCAAGTCATTCGATAACATGTGAACATGTGTGTACTTGTGCATGTGTGAGTTGAGGGAACTAGTGGATGCAATATATCTAACCTACTGTCCTTATATAGAAAAGGTACTGAAAAATTTGGATGCTGCATGCATTCTGAGGTACCACAAATACACTGACGATGCTCAGTGACCCTTCTAGCAGCCAGTGCTTGGATGATTGTGTTTGCGATCACCCCTGCCCAAGGAGGATACTCCATCTTCACACAGCTCCAAGGCTGTTGTCTGGTCCCCAAGTCCTTCATGCTCATTTCTCTCTGGGCTCTTTCTTTTCTCTTCCCTCAGCTATTTGTACCTTGTCTGCCTTTACAGTTCTAACATGGATCCCCAGTTCCACTGTCTGGTCCAAAGTTTGTCACTGATCAGAAGATGGTATCTCTCCTACAACATCCTCTGTCTGAGTCACCGTGGCTTCTCATACCTGGCTGAGGGGTGAGCCGCTACCCAGCATGCCTTCACAGTAAATGGTGTCAGTGTATGTGATGAGATACTAGCTAATCTGGTGAGTCCTGCTGGGCTTTCCAGACTCATTGTTTCTGTGGGTAACCTTCTCCTATCAATCCAAGGCTCACCATCCTGAGACAGCTCAGAGAACTTGGTAACTCAGCCCCCAAGCACTGTGGGCCTTATGATGTTCTTTTTTAGTAACTGCCAGAAAAATGTTCCATACTTTCTCCACATTCTGAATTTTACTTTGAGTCTTGAAGCAAGGAAAGAACAGTGAGAGTGCTTTGGGGTCCCTCTTTTCTCATGGGCATCTCTTTTGTTTGTACTTTAAAAATGTATTTATTAGCCGGGCGGTGGTGGCGCATGCCTTTAATCCCAGCACTCGGGAGGCAGAGGCAGGCGGATCTCTGTGAGTTCAAAGCCGGGCTGGACCGACAGCCTCCAAAACAATACAGAGAAACCCTGTCTCATAAAACCAAAAAAAAAAAGTATTTATTTTACATTGGGGTGTGTGAACACGTGCCATGCATGAATGGGTGCACATGTCACAGGTTAGAATATAACTTCCAGGCATTGTTTTTTTCTTCTTCTTCCACTGTGTGTGGCCTGGGGTTTGAACTCAGATTGTCAGGCTTGGTGGCAGGGCACCTTTACTGTCTGAACTTTGTTCTTATACTTATCTTGGAAAAAAAAAAACCCTTGACAGAAACAACACAAGTGAGGGAAGGTTTCTTTTCAGTTACAGTTTTAGAGAGATTTCAGTCCATCATGGCAGACAGGCAGGAGCCGCTGTGTCCGTGTGATAGACGTGTGAGGTGGCTGCTTGCTCGTGTGGTGTGGACAGGAGGCAGAGAGCTAGACTGAAACCAGCTCCAGCTAAACTTCTACAGCCCCTTCCCTTCGGCTCCCTCCCTTCTCCTCATGTTTCCACAGGATGGCTGGTGTCCAGCATGACTCTCTTCAAGCTCTCTTGTCTTTTTTCTTGTAATGATTGGAATTCTGTTCATAGAGACTTCTCACTTGGCTCTTGGATTTTCATTTTATCTATCTATTTATTTTATTTTGGTGGTGGTGGTGTTTTTTCAAGACATGGTTTCTCTGTGTAACAGCTCTGGCCATCCTGGAGCTCACGTAGTAGATCAGGCTGGTCTTGAAACTATAGAGATCTGACTTGTCTTCCTCTTGAGTGAAGGATTAAAGGTGAGCACCACTATGCCTGGCTGGCTCTTGGATTTTTAAAAATAGGGAAGTCAGCTTTAATCCATAACTGTTACCACTTCCCTCTCCTCTTCAATGTTTAATAGTAAAATGGAAACCTCTACCTGGATTTTTTTTACTTCAGGGGCTTTTGCTTGCCTTTCTAGACAACCTAGCTCAATTCATGAAAAATAAACAAGAGTCTCCTCTCTTTCCTCCTTCTTTCTTTCCTTTTCTCCACCCCCTTCTCATTATTGTCATTCTTTCAGCATCTTCCTTCCTCCCTGACTTAGTCTCTTTCTCTCTGTAGCCTAGACTGGCCTGGTACTTGAGAACTTCCTACTCAGCCTCCTGAGTACTGGGTTTACATACATACATCACCCTGCCCCAGTCAAAATTCCCCTTTTCATGATTGCTGTTGTTGGATGGATCACTTTCTTCCAACAGATATGACTGTGTGTACTATGTGGCTTCCCCTTGAGAGAACATATCCCATGCCCATTTTATAGAAGCTCATGGATACCTGAGAGATCCAGGGGAGTGGAAACTATTCTTTTGATTCTTTTCCATCAGGAAACTGAGGAGGTTAGGGGAACTCACTCTCTGAGCACATGCATCTAGAAGGGGAAGGGGGGGGGGAGAATGTGTGTGTGCCCAGGAGTCACTTAAAGCAACAGCCAAACAGCCATCCTATGTGGAGGGCAGACGCTGATTCATTCCGCTGTTAGGAAGGTGAGAGCCTGTGATCCTGGCCTCTTGATCTGTTGGGTTCATGTTCTGGGGGCCCGTGAACTGCCATGTCCTATTTCTGCTTTGGAGTTGCCCGAAGGGACTTCAGAACAAGACTCAGCAACATCTTCTTTTGTACACTGGCTACAGTGAGTCATGCAATGTTTTCCTAATGGCTTTCCGACTCTGACATTCTTTTAGTCACACTTCTGTGGGTTCTGAGTGGATGAGAATGCCTAGCTACGGGGCCAAATTTTCCACCATGCCACTCAACTTCAAACTCGTGCTTCCTACACAGGTGGGGTCAGGTACTCTGTGCGTGTGTGTGTGTGTGTGTGTGTGTGTGTGTGTGTGTGTGTGTGTGTGTGTGTGTGTACAGGTATGCACATTCAGGATTGGTAAGGATTTTCCACTGCCTGAACTAAGGCTGTAAATAGCCTAAACAGCTAGCATTTTCTTCTTCTTATCTTTCTCTAGAAATTGCACCCCATCTTTCTCTCCCTTCTAAGTGGTAGAATGCTAGAGTATACTGGGCCTGTCCACCCCCACCCCCTTTCTTGCTCTTACTTAGGGAGGAATGGACTAAGGGTGGGGCTGACATCACCCCCGAGCCACCACTTCCTAGCAGACAGGGCTGCTGCAATCCAGAACCAGAAACAAGGCAGCCCCTTCTCTGCTCTCCTGCCATGTCAGTATGGAGTATGCTTGGTTCCCTTTTAGAAGGCTTTCATCTCAGCCTCATGTAGCCTTGTATCTCTGGTGAGCTTCAGTGTATGTGCTGGGGAGTGAGTGTGTTTTTACATGTTGATCGGAGTGAGAGTCAGGAGGTCCTAAGGCCAGCCTGACCTGGATTCTTCAACAGACATGATAGAGAAGACCTGTGGGTTGAGAGCTGGAATGGGCCTGAAGAGATGACTAGACTTTGGTGTATTTGCTTTCCCTTAGGCTCTGGATCCTTGTGTTTTATGCTATCAGACCTCCCTGGAGCTCAGGGGAAGAGGGAGCATGCCACTTGGATCCACTAATGTTCATCATGTTTCAGGTGTACAAAAAGTCACAAAGACACAGTCAGCGAGAAAAAGTTCAAAGTCAATTTACCAAGTTCATCAGTACAAAGAATGCTTAGGACAGGTCCTTGGAGAGGGAAGTCATCACATGTTTTAAGGAATTCATACTATGAGTGCTGTGGAGTTGCTAAGGCCAAGAGGAACTTGAAAACCCAAGTGTCCTCACTCGGCCTAGGTTCCTGCTTCCTGTCGGGAGCTTTTCTAGACGTCTC